GCAGTCTTAGCTCACCGCAACCTCCGCCTCCTGGGGTCAAGCGGTTCTCCTGTTTCAGCCTCCTGAGTAGCTGGGATTACAGGGATGTGCCACTACAACAGACTAATTTTATATTTTTAGTAGAGATGGGTTTTCTACATATTGGTCAGGCTGGTCCCAAACTCCCAACCTCAGGTGATCCGCCCGCCTTGGCCTCCCAAAGTGCTGGGATTATAGGCATGAGCCACAAGTACAATATGCTTTATGAAAATACAAGTGGTAAGAAAATGCAAATTATATTTTGATATTCACTTAAAGGCAAAAATAAAATTCTTTCGAAAGTAATGATAACATATAGATAGATATGAAGATCTTACATGGTACTTGCAATTCTGGTCCTTAGCAATGGAATCAATAATGGACAGCCATGTGTTTTCATATACAGAGCAGTTGCTATCTTTTTAAGAGATTCATGGTGGACAGTGAACCAAACTTTTTACATTATCCTCTTCTCCAATCAGGTATGCCTTCAATATATATGTACCATGCTAAATTGATTGTACATCCTAAAATCCACATTTTAGAACTGAAGAAATATTAACAGTCAATGATCTGGGCAGCATAAACCATACCTTCTTCTGCAGAATACACCACTGTGGTGGGACTGAAAGGGCCTTCTCCTTTGTTGTTGAAGACACCTACTTTAACCTCAAAGGGAGAGAAGGGGCGCACGCTCTCATTCCTGAACACGTATCTGGAGGCGTCAGCTGAGGCCAGCACTGTCAGCATCCAGATCATTTTACCATAGGGCCGGAAGGCCACCACATAACCGAAGCCTCGACCATTCTGTAATTCCTCAGGGACCGTCTGGGAAAGAAGGGAGATGGTCTTCAGAAATCATAGTAGTTTGACTCCAGTGCAAAAATCGTTTTTGTTTCCCTTGTAACATTCTTGTCTATATCCTTCTCCACCCATCTTATTTGGGGTTTTGTTAAGAGTCTTTTAAATTTAGGGCTTGCAGTCAGTCTGTCTTAAACAGTTATAAGGTACCGGGCAGGGTTGAAAACGTAATGAAGATCTGCAGTCCAGAGCTTGCTCTTTGATGGGGCAGACCCAGCTCTGAAATGGTTGGAAATGATTGTAAAAAATAAATAAATAAATAACAGGACATCGGTCTCCTGAAAAACAGTATTTCCAACACGTATTTTCTAATACTAAGCTTCCTCCATTGCCAAATAGACAAAAGATCTCACTGAAGGAAGAAAAACCATCTTGGCTGAAGATCCTCCCTCTCAGAGGGAAGAGTTCAGCTGGGGGGATGAGTGATTGTTTCACTGCTGTGCTCTGGCTAAATGAAAGATTTTAATTTCTGGGGCTGTTTAGAATCTTTCAAAAACATGAAGAACCCTTTCTAAAGCTCCCACCTCTTCTCTCAAAGCCAATTTCTAATAAATTGGTGACTAACCTTCCTCCAGGTTGTTTTAAAAAATACCTCCTAAAAGAGGGCCCCTTCTGGAAGCAAAGCCAATTGCCAGGAAACTGTGCTGGTGCACTGACTCTAGTGCTGGCAGACGCTTTAAATCAATTGGCCATGCTGCAATTCAGGAAGAAAAGGAAAACCAGTTTTCTGTGAAACAGCCTTCTTTATTTTTTTTCTAACTTGTGTTGTCTTCCCTTCATGATTGTTTTTACTGTAATGGATTGAATTAAAACTTGCCTCAATGATGGATGGGCAAGCGCCATCCTTCCTGCTAGCCATTAGCTACGTGAGAGGGAGTGTCTGCACTCAAATGAATTTTCACTGTTAAAACCAGAGGAGTAAACTTCCCAGCTATGTCTAACATTGAGGAAAATAAAAAAAATAGCTTTGATGCATGTACATTCCTTTTATTCTGTGATTCATTTACCTCCCAGGTTATAACCAGTTCAGATTTGCTGCCTCCGCCACCACTGACATTCGCTGGTGTGACTTCGGGGACTGCACGTGGAGACAAAAAACAAGTCATGTCAGGCGGCAAAGGCGAATGAGGGTCAGGAAGGTTGCCTGGCAGAGGTGACTCACTTTCAATGACTACTTTGAGGCATACCCCTTTGTCTTTGGAGATCAGCAACAGCATCATCAAGAGACCCACGGCATCAGCTTGAGGAAGTGAAATGTACCAAGGAGACTGCTATTAATTACCTGTTTCTCATTCAACAAGGTACACGTGTTATCTGACATGTCTGACCAATTGTTCAGCTCCATCCCTAGAGGTTGAGGGGTTCTGGAAGGGAGGAAAGGACTGAGGTCTGGTTCTAATGTTTGGTTCTGCGTTTATTAGCCACATGATGATACACAAAGGAAAGACAGTACAAGCTCTGCTCAGGCAGAGTTTCCATTCTGGTTGGAGGGGAAGAGCGCTTGCACCACAGTTAGAGCAAGGTGGACAACCAGAGTACGGTACAGTCAGCATGGAGAAGCGCAGGGGGCCTTCCGGAGTAGCGGCCTGCCCAGAGCTGAGGTGGGCAAACAGCTTCTTGGAGGAAGAGAGTTTTGATCTGAGTGTTGAAGGAAGTGGCAGACAGAGTTGACCCCTGGCTCACTGTGCTTAACCTCTTTGACCCCCGAGTTTTCTCTGTAAAAGGGAGGAAATTATGTGAGCTTCCACCTGAAGACTGCTGAGGGGAATTAATTCAATTATGGTTTTGGAAGGGGAAAAGAAAGCAGGGGACTAGCTATATTGTCATCATGTAACTGAAAGACCCTGGGCCGCATTTAAAAATGTCTCACTGGGGCATGTGGCTGGTGACTGGGTATGTCTCCTTGGTTAAAGCCAATCAAATAGATCTAGATGAGTTTTTGTTTTTCTGAGAGTAGGGTCAGAACTCCCATTTGTGTAGAGACCTTATTATTCCTTCAACACACTGGCCTGTCTACAGCCGGGAACTCTATAAAGACTGCACATGTAGGCCTCCTGCTTTACACCAGCTAAGTAAAAGTACGGCTGACCCTGATGAACTTGTTCTTCTCTCCCCGTGCTCATTCAAGCTGTATATGTAGAGGGCCATACTAAATTGCTGGCTAGTCTTATTTGAATTAGCATGGTGTTCTGAAACTTAGTTTCTGGGAATGGTTTATACCCTAAGAAAATCTCAGTGAACATTTCTGAAGAAATTGGTTTATTTCATATTTCTATTCTAAGCAGGACTACCCCACGGTTGCTGTGCCCACAGCAGCCAGAAATTATTCTTTGCCATTAGTTACTTATGTGAGATAATTTTATTTGAAATGTGGGGCATTGTTTTTTGAAATCCTGTTAGAATCTCGGTGACAAATGAACCAATGAAGAAGGGGCTGGCTTTTGAGAGGACTAAGTGCAGTGTGCCTGTTGCTGTACAGGTGGACCTAATGAAGGAAGCTTAACTCTGGATTGAAACCCATTGCGTGCTCAGCTGGGCTTCTCCTGGCCTGATTTCTACCATTATAATCATTTGAGGTGAAGGGTGTGCTAACACAGAGCAGCATGAGCGCTGAAGAGCAGCAAGAATTCAAAGTCTTTTCCTAAGGAACAGCAGCTGGCAGAACAGATGATCTGAATCCCGGGTGCTACTCACGAGCTTCTTCTGTTCTCCGTTTCTCAGAGGGGCGGCTGGGCTCCCCAATCCCAATCACATTGGCTGCAACTGTGCGGAATTCATATTCGACCCAAGGATTCAAACCCACCACGGTTGCTGTGAATGTCTTCCCATCAATGAGTTCTGGGACTGAAAGACAACAAAAGGTAGTGGCTGTTTCACAGGTTCTCAGAAAACAAATGCAGAGATTACGCTAGGAAGATAGGGACATCCACCCATCCTCATGGTTATTGCATTCAGGGCAGTGTAGGTGTTCTGATATTAGCTGCATCAACAGTTGTTTCAGTGAAGTAATCTCAGAACTATCTCTGTATGTGAAACTAACACACTCTAATCAGATACCAGCAGATGACATCATAAAAGACACGCAGTCCACAAGGCCCCAAGCCACCCGACTCAATCATTACTATCACCCCTTCACATGTGTTTCAGCATTTATTATGTAGTGCCAGACACATTATTTCAACTGTCCTCTGAGAAAGGCAAAAGTATTCTATTCTTTTTTTCCCTTTTTTTTTTTTTTTTTGAGACAGGGTCTCTCTCTTTGACGCCCAGGCTAGAGTGCAGTGGCACAATCTCGGCTCACTGCAACCTCCACCTCCCAGGCTCATGCAATTCTTGTGCCTCAGCCTCCCGAGTAGCAGGGACTACAGGTGCATGCCACTTTGTATTTTTAGTAGAGATGGGATTTCACCATGTTGCCCAGACTTCTCCCAAACTCCTAGGCTCAAGCGATCCACTTGCCGTGGCCTATCAAAGTGCTGGGATTACAGGTGTGAGCCACTGCGCCTGGCCTACATTTATTCTTAAACAATTCTTATTGTGTCCGTTTAACAGAAGAGGAAAACGAAGATGTATAGAGATCAGCTGATTAGCAGTCAGGACTAGAATTCATCTCCTAACTTTCATATTTTTCTCATCTTTCCTTCTTAAAGCACACCCGTGACTCAGTGATTACAGTAGGAAACACAGAAACCCGTTTCTAAGGATTGGTAAACAAAAATGATAAAACAAACTGGGGTTAAAATCAACAAGATTCATATGAATTGCGCAACACTGGGCATATTCTCCTTCAAAACATCAAGGCCATATAGCCTACCTTTGCTGTCTAGAGGAGTGTGTATCTTGTTTGTAATAACTACTTGTTCATCCAATTTATCCTTAAATGAAATCTAAATAAGAAAATGAGTCAATTTGGAGGTACTGACAGAAGTGGGGATGGTATAAGAATTATTTTAGATGCAAAGAGAAATAACTGTGAAACCTTTTAAAAAATAGGAAGTGCTGTATAAATGTAATAAAGGGAAACAGGATGGAAGTGCTACTGCTAACAATTTTTGTTTTAAAGAATTTGTAAAATTGGTTAAAAAGAAATCTCAAGTCTTTTTATCCCCAAATTTATCCATCTAAAAAACTGGGTCTGGGCACAGTGGCTCACACCTGAAATCCCAGCAAATTGGGAGGCTGATGCAGGAGAATAGATTGAGTGCAGTAGTTTGAGACCAGCCTAAGCAACACAGTAAGACCTATCTCTACAAAAAATTTTAGATAATTAGCTGGGTGTGGGGGCCTGTGCCTGTGGTCTCAGCTACTCAACAGGCTGAGGTGGGAAGACTCTTGAGCCCAGGAGGTCGAGGCTGCAGTGAGCTGTGATTGTACCACTGCACTCCAGCCTGGGTGACAGAGTGAGACCCTGTCTCAGGGGAAAAAAAAAAAAAAAAAAAGGGGCAGCAAGTGAGGAGGCTCCCTATAATCCTCAGTTACTGGTTTTTTGAAAGCACTGTGTAAACTTTACAAAGTCTGTGACTATAGTCAAGCAGAATCTACTGCTTTCCAAAGTGTACCACAATGCTACACAGATGATTTTAGGTAATACAGATTGATGCATTTTATTTTTATAACTAATATATTTTTAATGTGTGTTAGGGAAAATATATATACAACCAGCACAACAGACTTTTTTTTTTTTTTTTTTTTTTTTTTTTTGAGATCGAGTCTCACTGTCGCCCAGGCTGGAGTTCAGCGGTGTCTTCTTGGCTCACTGCAACCTCTACCTCCTGGGCTCAAGCGATCCTCCCACCTCAGCCTTCTGAGTCGCTAGGACTACAGGCACGCACCACCACGCCAGGCTAATTTTTGTATATTTTGTAGAGAGGGGGTTTCGCCACGTTGCCCAGGCTGGTCTGGAACTCCTGGGCTCAAGTGATCCACCCAACTCCACCTCCCACAGTGCTGAGATTACAGGCGTGAGCCACCAAATCTGGCCCGGACATACCATTTCACAGATACTATTCCTTAGGATGAGTTTAAAAAAACCTAACTGTGATTCGATATAAAGAAAAATACTAACAATAGTACAGTGGGCTGAGGTTAAGGAAACACTGCCGCAATATATCATTTGTAGTAGTGTCTGAATGAGAACTTAAATGTTCCTTGCCACAGTGCTGTGTCCAGTATGCTGAATTCCCAATGTCTCTGAGCCAAGCATCCACTATGGTACCTGTATTGACTGCTTGCCAGCCCACGGAGAACGGAGTCCTGGCTTGAATGACATACATGGTGATGGGGCTGTGGTTGTCAGGCCCGGGTCTCCAGGAGAGCTGAGCAGTGGTGTCTGTGATTTCATCTATTGTCACAGCCTCTGGGGGACCTGGAGGACCTGGGAAAGAGTAAGACCCCCAGAACTGGAACAGTGTATTCAAACACCCAAGTGAAGGATCCACATATTTGAGTGGGGCATTGACCCATTCATTTATTTACCCATTCACAGATTCATCACTTGTCAAATCCTTTTTGAATCCTACTATGTGCTGGGAACTTTCTTGGGCTTGGAAACCACAGAGATGAATGAGACACAGCCCCTTCCTTCTAGGGTCCCAGAGTTTAATATGAAAAATGAATAGGTAAACAAATAATTACAATTGAATACTTAATGTTAATAGGGAATACTGGGGTACCACAAGAGCCCACATTCATTAATTCATTATCTATCTATAGGTTCCCACTATGGGTCAGACACTGTTATTTGAGGATACGGTAGTGAGAAAAGATAGATATTGCTCCTGATTTCATAAAGAGTATAGTCTGCTGGAAACGGTTATTTCTACCACTGAGAATATAGATTTAAGCACAAATGGCTTTAAAACTTTGAAGGTTACAGTATTGCTCTGCACATTCTGCTGCACTGTAATTACTAGCACTCTCTTCACCCCCAACCCTGCATCCCATATGAGCACACACTTGCGTGCAAGGGAACTGCTGTGAAAATGGCCGGTGCGCAAGAGTCAAAGCGCTCCCTTCTTCAAAGCAATTTCAAAATTGGGCTTTATTCTAAAGACTCTCATTTGTAGTTTCTGCAAGTCATACCTGTATTTTTCTGCTTCTCTTCCTGATGTTCATTATTTCTGTCCATGTACTTAAACCATGGAAAGGGGAGGAAATCAGATTTAAATGAAGGCTTGAAACTAATAAAGAATTAGAAGGATGGAAAGCAGCTGGCAGGCAAAGACAAAATATCAACAGAGCCAGAGCAAAGACCCGCAGCTATCCCACTTTCCAACATGAAAATCTCTTACCAGGCAGTCAAATGCATTTTTAACAAGGTACAATTGACCACCTCAGGAGGGAAGGTGATGGTGAGGGGACATAATGACAAACCTCATGCCCATTAGACGGGCATAAGGAGATGTTCCTAGGAGGGGTTTGCTAATCCCCAGTCTAGCAATCAAATGTACTACCCAAATACTATCGGGCCATGTCACAGGGACAGGGAGAAAAGAGACCTCTCACAGAGCAGTGCAAAGTTAACAGCAATTTCCTGAAGTTAGACTTTGTTCTAGGATTCACTCCTTCACCGTTTTCGTGATGCCCTAAATTCTCTTTCCTTTTTTAAAAATCACTTTTATAGACCCACAGGTGAGACTAAATTTATCTTCTCCCTCCCACTCTTGAATGAAATGTCTGGAAATCTGTATCCTGGAACTGATTAATTTTCCATGGTGACATTTCAGCATGTCAGTCTAATGTCACCTAGATAGAGCTAATGTAACCTTTGGTCTTGCAACCCCTTTTAACCAGATAAAGTCTTGAACACAATATAATTTTTTTCACCAGTTTTCTCATCCAAGCATTCCCCACCTTTTTTCTTTATGGATGCTGCACTGATGGCCTTTAAAATCTAAGTACCACAGATAGAAAAGTGTTTCCCTCTAAACTCTTCAAAGAATTAAATCGATAGGAAATATCTGAGTCCATTGTTGGCCTCTCTATAGGAAGGAAATGAAGGGCTGGTATGAATTTGGCCACTGGAGAGAAGATGGTACTTTCCTGGATTTGTTTCTTTTTTTATCTTCCTGCCACCCGCTCCTACCCATGCATAGATATGACCTTACAGAATGTTTACCAACTTTGTTTTAGGGAAGTTGACTCCCTCTTTCAAAATGAAAAATGTACAAATGTTTGCCCTCTGAACAAAACGATAACAAACTCAGGGGCATGTAGAAGATTTTGTTTCAGGCAACGGCAAAGGGAAGATTAGTTTGATTCTGGGGTCTGCTTCTCCCTCAGGAAGGATGGACTTTCTGGCTGCCATTAGAGTGCTATAGGTTAAATAGAGCAGGCCTCAGCAAATCAAAGGATCTGCAGCCAAGACTCAAAGCTGCTATAGGTTTCAAATATGAAAATCTCTTTCAGGGTGGTGAAATACATTCCTGCCTCCCCCTCTGTAATGTACAAGAAGAGCTGCAAGGGCAGAGCCGAAGGAGATAACATGAAAGATTATGGTTTTAAATGGCATATTAATTTATTGGCCTTATTAACTGATTAGACTAGATTTTCTTTTAGACTGCATTTGCAAATTCCTCCTGGTATTTAATGTTATTTTCTGTGAAATGAAGTATACAATATCATTTAAGAACTTCAAGTATTACTGATTTAAATATTCATTAGTCTAATTTATTGGTGTTTTAACTGCTAATCTGAACATTATCCTAATTAAATAGAGGATAAATTTTCAACAACAGAATTCTTTTGTCCCCAAGGTGAGGGCAGACCAGCCTGGTGCATTTTAAAATGGAAATAAACACATTTCTATAAGTTATTCTGTGGGCAGATCTACCTAGGTTGAAGGTTTTTTTCTCATTTCTAGCCCTTGTCTGCACTGTTACTGAAAGGGTTTTTAAAGGCAATTTAAAGGGGAACAAAGCAGACACATTGGAATCGCTGTTTTTCTGGAACCTCTCTTCACAATTAGTTTAAGTTGCTAACTCCCACACATTTCCCCCCCTTACATTATGCCTAGAGGATATAGCAACACTCTTTATGGCTTCCAATAATACCTTGTTCTCTGTGCATGCAGATTAACCCTGCCTCCAATTCTCATACCCTAAATTTTTATTTTCTTGCATTCGAAGTTTTGCCATGCACTCTGCCAGCTGGCCAAAGATGCCTGAACACCAACAGTTAGGGATTCTGATGAAGGAGATTCTAGCCAAAAGATTATTTTGATGTCTGGATTGGCCTCTCTTTTAATGCTATAGAAAACCCCTGAGCATGCATAGGTTGGATTCTGTTAGGTACACTGGTTTGTGAAGATTTTAATTTTCATTTAAAAATATTTCTTAAAAGTCCTTTTACAGTTCCTTTGCCAACTGGTTTGTTGAGGCTTGGAATGTACTCAGTTGGTGCTGCTCAGCCGGGGGGGCGGGTCATAGCTCTTAGGTCCAAATTAGGTCATGCTAATAATATTCAAAAGAATCTCAAAAATGTTAGTATTTACATCAACTCTTAGCTCATTTACTACATCCCAGGCAGTCAGGAAGTGTCCTCTCCCAAAACCCTGTTTTAGAAACTGAACAGCACTGTGAAGTTTAGGGAAAAAAAGGAAACTCGGATAAACCTAATGATTTTACTTAAGCTGCTGTTATACTAATTCAATTTAGCCCAGAGGAAACATAAAAAGGGGCAGTTTAATCCCTCTTTAAACTCTCTGCTTTTGTTCACCTAAATTTGTTCTAGAAGGTCATATCAACTCCAACAGCTGTAATTGGGTACTTGATTTACTCAATTATCCTTTCAGTGTAAAGTTACTGGATGTGTTCGGTGCATTTTCTGACAACCCCCACTGAGGAACTGTACATGCACCAGAAACTTCTGTGGACTGTTAGCCACTGTTTACAATGTTCAGCGTCTGCCTGACTTTTTCCCATAATTCTAAACCACTGAGGTTTTTGAAACTCTGTGCTACAGTAGAGATCATGAAAATATTTCAAGAGCAGCAACAACAACAACAACAACAACAACAACAAAATCCAATACCTCTTACAATCAGGTCTGCAGCAGCAGAGAGCCTGTCCACACTTGTTTGGACCATGCAGACATATTTCCCAGCATGCTTCAGTTGGATGTTTCGGATCATCAAATCACCAGCTGAATCCTGCTGATAAAGTAGGGGAAAGTGGCTACAATTACTTTTTAATGAGCTCTAAATATCATTATCACATGAAGGACACTGTGACTAATGGATTTATTTTACACTGGCTGATGAAAACATTAGTGATGCAAGCCATGGCCTATTAAAAATATGTGAGCCTGCCTGAGAGATAAGAACACCAACATTTTCAGAACACATCTTCGACAAGACCTCAGGTGTCTGGCTTCTCTGAGTCTCTGGAGCAGTTTGCCACCCACGTTGGAAGGATGTAACTTACATATTACATAAGTACTATGCACTACGATGGCTCTTGATCTAGTTTTGTGAATTTCTTCAGAAATGCCCTCAGCCTAGAGCCTTGGTTGGCATTCTGATACTTTAGAACTCTGTATTTGGAAAATGGAAGCAAGCCCACATGTGGAGGTATCTGCATTTTACCTCACAACCCTTTCTTACAGCCAGCATTTTTATTGCTTCCAGGTTTGAATTAAAGGATTAGGAAGACCAGATTCTCCAAGGAAATCGTGCACCACCTAGTATGGAACGGTGCTAATTTGTTTTCCAAATGCCAAATGCATGTTTGATTAGCAGATGAATAGGACTAATTACATCCTGGTTTGGATGTCTATGTGCCCCAGAAATATTTCTACAGTGTTCGCCAGCACAGTACTTTTAATATATGTGAGGAGATGATTCCACAGGCTATCACAAAGGCAGCATTTTACCTGAAGAACACTGCTACACCTTAGAGTTTGGTTCACAGTTCTGTTAATCTAAAGTTTGGAGAATAGCTGCTTGAGGAAGAGACCACTCTAGAGGCCAGATTTGAAAAACTACACTTCATTCTAAACTCGTAATGGATGACAAGATAATTTAGGATATATTGGCCCTCTTTCATTTTCCCATTCCAAATTATACAATAGGAAATTGACACAGACTCTTCTGTTGCTATTTCTCCAATGATGATAGTAATGGATGATGCTTAATGGTATTTACTATATGACAGGCAGCTTCTAAGTGCTTTACTTATATTAAACTCACTAAATACTCACATGTCCTCTGAGGCAGGTATTCTTGTGATCCTTATTTTACAGATGACGAAATTCCAGCACAAAGAGGTTAGGAGACTTGCCTAAAGTCACATAGCTAGAAAATGGCAGAGCCAGGATTTGAACCCATATAGTCCCTGTTCTTAACAATAACACTGGACTAGCATCCAGAAAGACCATATCCTCATGCTATTTCAAAACTAATATGTACTTGGTTATCTCCATCATTTCAGCACAGAGTGTCACATTCACAGGATAATGGAAGAGATAGATTTGCCAATTAGAAATAGGATTAGAAGAGATGCCGAAGCATGGAGTGAAGGAAGAGCTGCAGTTTTGATGCTTAGCTGTCTTGGGCTGACTTCTGTGTGATTTCATCTAAATCTCTTAATCTCTCTTGGCCTTAATTTACTGACTTTTGAAAGACCTTTATTGACCTATGTGCTAGGTTGTGAAAATCAAATGAGATAATCTGTGTATGTGAAAATCTTCTGAAAATTGTGAAGCATAGATTAACTCTAAACTGTTATTACTGATGGCCATGATCCATTTTCTTTGTGAAACAAACATGTCAAAGATGTTAAATCTAATTCAGGTAAAGCTATGGTATGTTAACCCAAAACGTCTTTTGTTTGTAACACTTGGCTTCTCATCCAGATGCCACTGTTTACGGATCAAGTCTTATAATTGCTCAATAAAATGAGAAAATAATTGTTAACCTATTTGACAAGATTTCTGTGAGGATTAAGGAGCTATTACAGTCATCCTTTGGTAGACACAGGGGATTGGACTCAGGACCTGTAGTACACTAAAATCCGCACATACTCAAGTCATGCAGTCAGTCCTCTGGAACCTGAGTATATGACAAGTCAGTCCTCCATATATGTGGGTTTTAAATCCCATGAATATTGTATTTGCAATCTGAGTGTGGTAGAAAAAAATCCACATGTAAGTGGACCCATACAGCTCAAACCCGTGTTGTTCAAGGGTCAAGTGTATATAAGAAAGTACTTGATAAATGATGAGGCACTTTGCAAATATAAGGAATTATCACTATTATCATCATTATTAAGATTATTGTTACTTTACCTAAGAAATTTCACATATTGGGACTTTGAATACAGGTTTAAATAAAAAATATGTCCCTGGGGAGGTGTGCAGGGAAGGTGCACATTGGCCTGAGGGAAATGCCTACACCATCTCACTAATACACTTTATTCATCAAGGGCTTAAATGTTAAAGAAACTTGTAGCCTGGATATTTCAGAGCACAGCAACCTATTAATAGAAAATTTTGATTTTGCGATTTAGAAAGTATTCTAGTTATTTACACATTTTGACTGGATTTGTGTTTTTAAAGTAAAACTGAAACAAAGAAAAAAATAGGAGTGAGGTAAGAGTCTCATCAAAGGAGACCACAATAACTTTCTCTTTCCCTTTGAAGTCATCCAGACCCAACTATTAACTAAGATCTACAATTTTATGTTCCTACCAAAGAAAACAACAGCATCTGCTTATTTTCCACCACTGCAGTCTGTTACGTTCCTGACAGAATACTCAGTGGGGATGGAGGTATCAGAGGACAATGAAATAATAACTTTCCTAAAACCTCCATAGGTTAACTCTATACCAAACATCATCTCCACCATGCTGACCCAGGAAGCTGAAACTGAAATAGGCTTGACTTCAGAGTTGCACTTGCTTTTCTCTTCTATTGTCAAGTCTTGACTCCACAGACATTAATGATCCTAGTGGCTAATACACTTAGATCTCACATGCGGTTGTGCTGTTCTTAATTTTCTATGTATTTCTCAGCAGGAGTTGATTAGTGTTAGCATTAGTTTAACAGAGGAAACAGACATTTCCCATATGAAAGATGAATGTGAGCGGCACTACGGACGGCTGTCTCTACAAAAAGGTGGTCATCAGTGTTTGACTTCATTAGGGTGTCCCTATTTCTGCCTTAGCCCTGGCACCATTCTGGCAGAAAGGCTACATGTGTCTGAATGGTAGGACATCCACTTCGATTGTTCAGGCATCTGTTTGGATTGGCTGGTGCTTGCACCATTCTGAGATTTAGCATTTTTAATCTCTCTCCTGCCCAAGAAATTGGTTTTAATGTGAGAACATTCAGCTTAATTTATGGAGAATGTTCTCGATTTATACTCTCCTGTTATTACAATCAATGTTACCCTTCCTTCAGTTGATACCACCATTAAAGTTTATCAAGTACTTCTTTTGTGGTAGACATTGGGCTATGCACTTTTCTAGACCTCAAGATATTCAATATCTCCAATGTCTTTGTGAGGTAGTTAATATTTCTCTCACTTAGCCAATGTTATTAAGCTGAACCATGTGAAAGAGGTCCAGAATGGTTTACTTTGGCAATTTCATATAGCCTTTCTCAACCAGGGTCCCAAGAGATAATCCCTAGTGAACCCAGGCATCCACTGATGTAACTAATTAACTTCTTTCCTGTGCCATCTAAAGTTGTACCAATCAGATACCACTCTTGGCATAGAATTGAGACAACAGTCATTGAAATTGTTTTTGGCGTTCTGTGACTCAACTGCAAAAACCCTGTTTGATAAAGGTAGTAAGAATGTAATGAACAGGGCTAGTACTGTACTTGGGTGGAAAATATGCTCTCACTATATCATATGGATGACTTTAGGCCACTTATTCTCAACATAAAGGGGGTGGACAGATTTTTATGGCAGCCTGGAAAGTGGGGAGGGCTCTTCAAGTCAGGGCCCCATTTTTATATTCTGCTATGTTTTGGTTGGACTCCTTCATAAAAATGGCAGTCAGAGTCAATCTTTATTGTCAATGGGACCATAGAGCTGTGTTAGAGCAGAAAAATTTTTTTTGACAATGATTGTCATAGACATAAATTGTTTTCAGATTTAACCTCTTCTTGTTATGTGTTCAATGATAATACATAGTTATGGAAAGTAAGGCATTTTGAAAATCCAATCATTTTGAATTCAAATTACCTGGAGATAGTAAATAACCCAATCAGACTTTCAAATTCAAGAAAGAAAACCCTAAATTCACAATGATGAGCCTTCTACAAGGTCAAAGGGAGTTTAATTAGCAGCCTAAAAGCAGAAGGAATCCATCCTTAAGCTATTTTCTTAATCAGATTCTAGGGTATATGATATGATATGTGACACAGAGTTTGAGATTTGAAGTTTTAAGCAGAGTTCCACAATTCAGTAGCTATGAGGCCAAGGCAAGTCATCCAATGTCTGTGACCCTTAGTTTCTAATCCATACACAGGAATGAATAATTAACCTGTAGGATTGGTGCCAGTTAGAGAGCAGTCCTGCCATACAGGTTGTTCAATGAGTGGTGCCACATTTATTGTGCAAAAAGGAGCAGGAATTAACCAAGAGTTTCTTGCCATAAGATTACTTGAACAAAATTCTAAAATAGTAACTTTAAATATATTGTTAAGTTGGTCCAAACAAGTTAGTCTGAGTCAGTTTTGAGAAGTTCATTTGCACACTGTGTTTCCTGTGGATAGTTTGATATTAATACTTACCCCTCCAACTCTTTCAAAGTGGTCCCCATCTCTGTCAAAGTCTATCAGGTGTCCATTAAATGACCAAGTAAACACGATGTCCAGCGAGTGATCATGCGTTACCTGGCACGGCAAAACAATGCTTTCTCCAACAGTGACATCCATACTGGAAGGGGGTACCATGACCCTTGTTGGATCTGGAGAGTTAAAATAAAACAAACAACAACAACAACAAAGTCTGTGAGCTCGTGAGGAAATAAAATGTAGACTCCAAGAGCAAGATGAAATACTAAGTAATTTTGCTTTATTTTTTCTGAGGCTATGACCAGCAAACCTCAGTCATCTGGGAAGCTCAGACTCAGGCCAGGAGGTCATTTTTAATATGAAAAGATGAAAACACTCATTACGTGAACCTTCTCAGAGCAACAGAACTCAGTCAGGGAGCATGGAGGTGAGATCTCTAAAGATGTTCATGGAAGGGCTTACTTTCTGGCAGCCTGCTCTGAATTGCTTCTTTGAAAAGGTTTTCATCTCTCTCCAGTTTCACTAGAAAGCTACATTTCAGCTGAGTGCATACAGGAAAAATCCAAGTTGACTTGAAGTTTGTTGGGCTCTTTTTTTCTATTATAAAAGTAATAAATGTTTTAGCACAGGGAATTTCCTAAATTAAAAGAAAATTAAAAGAAGGAATAGAAAAACAAATCCTGGCTGGGCGCGGTGGCTCAAGCCTGTAATCCCAGCACTTTGGGAGGCCCAGATGGGCGGATCACGAGGTCAGGAGATCGAGACCATCCTGGCTAACACGGTGAAACCCCGTCTCTACTCAAAAAAATACAAAAAAACTAGCCGGGCGATGTGGCGGGCGCCTGTAGTACCAGCTACTTGGGAGGCTGAGGCAGGAGAATGGCGTAAACCCGGGAGGCGGAGCTTGCAGTGAGCTGAGATCCGGCCACTGCACTCCAGCCTGGGCGACAGAGCGAGACTCTGTCTCAAAAAAAAAAAGAAAAAAAAAAAAAGAAAAAGAAAAACAAATCCTATCTGGATAAAACATCTATTTTCGTGGTGGTATAATTTCCCCTAGTCTTTTCCGTTCATAGTTTTTCAGTTGTTTTGTTTTACACCATTAAAAACATGAGACACATACAATTTTCCTTTTTCTCCTCAGTATTATATCAGCATGTTTATTCCTTTGTCAACATATTTTTATAATCTGCCTTAAGCTTATAGTTTTAACAATTTTGAAACTAGTTGGCATTTTAGCAAATTTTATTAGACATTTTTCTAATATTTATAATTAGAAATCATAAATAATGCTGCAATGAACATCATTGACAAAATGATATAGGTATATTACTTTTTTAAAATAAGGACCATCAATTAGCTTTAAAATTCACCCTTTACATTATAGTTAAAACTGGGAATAGAATGGGCTTGCTTAGCTGAGACAGCTTATGAACTCTAAAACTACATTCACACCCATAGTCCCTTATTTTTGTGCAACATGATTTCATAAATGGTGTCAGAGAGTACACACGTGAGAAGCAGTTTGGATTCAATGTAAAGGCCATATGCATGCCTAAAGAATACAAGTCTGAATTAGGCCATATTCCAGAAATTTCTATATATCAAACCACATCGAGCCAATCAAACAATTACAAAGAAGACAAACCAAAACCAAACCAAATAATGAAAGAACACTGACTAATCCTCTCCCATAGTCATGGGATTGCATTTCAGGCTATGAGGTATATAAATATTTATTCAGGGGATCTCTTGGATTAAAATATCAGCTGGGAATTTTGAAATTATATCTGATAGGAGAATTTTTGTGAGTCTTACTTACTGATAACCCATGCTAAAATTTCTTCTTTAAAGAGAGTATTTAAAACATTTTTTCTATCCTTTTATTCAACTACAGAAAGAAAATCTCTCAGATAGCTAGAAAAGGGAAATCTCTGTCCTAAATAGGTTATAATCTAGTAGTGGGATATACTTTTGCTGTTTTCTAAAAATAGGAAAAGATCATGATAAACAGATGAATGTGCTTTCAGTCAGTGTTAAATGAGTGATGTCCATGAAATGAGAAGTGAACAACAGGTACTGCCAGCAAAGAGGTAATGGGGTAGAAAACCCCTGATATGAAAACCCGAGGCTTTTGAGGACTACATAATAAAAATCTGCTATGTTGATTCACTTACCATCAGGAATAGATAGTGATTAAGTTTTTTATTTTATTTTATTTTAAATGAGGAAAAGAGGTAAGTACAAATATTATTCTAAGCAAACATCAAGGAGTAGCCCCATTTTGACTTAACATGTCATTTGACGTTTTTTAATTTACATTTTCTGCAAGTAAAAAATGAAGACTGAAACAGATCCCAGGCTAAAATAATATATCTCTATGGGTTTTATTTGATAAAGATGTTGCCTAATTCTACTTTAAATAGCTGCCCACTGATTCTGCAATTTAGATTTTCATTTTAATTCATTTATTTGTTGATTTATCCACCAAGCATGGATTGTGTTTACACGGATAACAGACATAACAGAGGCTGAGGGAATAAGAACATTCATAATAACTGAGTCCCTTAGCACTGTTAGGCACTTTACATGAATTATTTCATTTATTCCTAACAAATAGGTACTATTATCATCCCTATTTAACCGATGAACAGACTGATGTCTAAGAGTCGTTAAGATATTGTCTATTGTGCGATTCTGCCTTTCTTTTCACTGAAAACATGATATGCACATGCAAATCATGCAGAGAATAAGTCTAAGGGCATAATATAGCAATTTGCACTCTTGATTATATGTAGTCAACTGAAGATATTCAAATGCAGAAGGAATTTAAAGAATTTCTGCCATGGGGTGCAGATGGTTGCAGAGGGCTTCACTGCATGAGTAATGAAGTTACTGCCTTAGGTAACAAGCAGTGATGATTTTATGCCAAAATGCTGGCTCTAGCTCTAAGCCTACACATCAAACTTATGAGTGCGGAGTCAAATGTCCAGTCTCCAGTTCCCAAAACTGTCTCCCTATCTCCTGACAACTTCTGGACAAGAAGCAAGGAGATGGCACATACCCCAAAGCCTAGAGCCGTGTGAAATTCTGGCTCACGTTTCTGAATGACATTTCTCTCATAAAGAAACGTTCACCTCTTTATGCACATGTAGGGATCTGGGACAGATTTTTATTATTGGTAAACTTAGCTGTCTTTTAACCAAGGACCAGAGAAGTTCCCTGAATCAAGGATTATGTTGGTACAGTTGTTGTGCTGACAGCTGCTGATTCATTAACTCAGCACTTGTCGCCGATTCATGTGCTGAGCCCTGAAGTAGCAAGAATCAATGCAACGTCATGTACTGTACACATACCAGAGAGGTCTCCTAGGGACAAGAAAAGATTAAACTAAAGAGGTTCAAAAATCTCATTAGCGACTTGGTTTTCTCAAAGTGTATGTTTGTTCTCTTGTTTTCTGTGTTGTGAATTTTGATGCTTTTTACTTGATTAATTTCCTAAAATTTGAATACAAACCCTGTATACAAACAGATGGCTTCCTGCAAAACAAACTGTCTCCTCTCCTTTGGTTTTAATTCATCAAGATCAGGAAGAACCTATATTTATGACTTCTGTTCTGAAGAGTCACTTCAGCTATTGTTCTGTGCATAGAAATCTCAAAGGCAATTAGAACTCAAGATGTGAACTGATGGCTGGATTTGGATGTAATTAAATAGCAACAATAAATAGGACCAACAACATCCCTAAACTTTCCTACTTGTGGTTGGTTCGTACTGTGTAGAATGATAAATTCTGAACTCCAGAGGACCGATGCTTAAAAATATATATATTTACCAAGTGCTTAATTCTCCTAGAGTAAAAATGAAAAATTCTTTTACTTTCTACGGTGTTTTCTATAATGTACAAATGACAAAAGGTAAACTAAGTGCTTTGTTTTAAGGATTATAACCATGAGGAAGAGTTAATTATTAACCATTATTTTTAATAATATTAACTACTCAGTTAATAATCAGATCCACAATTAGATGTATAAATCACAACACGTATCCAAGCCTTATTACATTTTCACTTTCACTGTTGGTGGAAAAACTTTCTGATTTATAGCTTTTGTTATCTCTAAAAAGAAGTGTTTTGGGGTCCATTGGATAAGAATTCTATTTTTAAAACACTGCAATGTTTTATGTTTTTTATTTTTTGACAGGGTCTTGTTCTGTTGCCCAAGCTGGAGTGCAACAGCATGATCAAAGCTCACCATAACTTCAAATTCTTGGGCTCAAGCAATCCTCCCATCAAGGTAGGACTAGAGGCACGCAACACCACATCCGGCTATTCTATTCTATTCTATTCTATTCTATTCTATTCTATTCTATTCTATTCTATTGTTGAGATGAGGTCTCATTCTCTCCCTGTGGTTGCAGTGCAGAGGCGCAATCTTGGCTCACTGCAACCTCCCTATCTCAGGTTCAAACGATCCTCCCATCTCAGCCTCCTGAGTAGCTGAGACCACAGGTGCACACCACTATGCCCAGCTAATTCCATTTTTTTTTTTTGTATTCTTGGTAGAGACAGGGTTTTTGCCATGTTGCCCCAGCTGGTCTCAAGCTCCTGAGTTCAGGCAATCTGCCTGCCTCAGCCTCCCAAAGTGCTGGGATTACAGGCATGAGCCACTGGTGCCTGGCTAATGTTTTATTATTTTGTAGACACAGGGTCTTGCTACGCTGCTCAGGTCAGTCTCAAATTCCCAGCCTCAAGAGATCCTCCGGCCTTGGCCTCCCAAAGTGCTGGGATTACAGGCGTGAGCCACCATACCTGGCTGATAGTTCTTATTATCTCCAAAAATAAGTGCTTTTGGGTCCACAGGATAAGAATTCCATTTCAATGTTGCTTTCCTGATACCCTATCAATTCTTCTATTTTAGTTTATAATTTCTTTATCTTTCATTTACAGTGCCAAGATATTCACTTGTGCCTATCACGATAGTATTTAATGTGTGTTTTAGTCATCTTCATTCGTGGAAGGAGACACATCCCTTTTGTTAACAAATGTTTTGACTGTAATGGTTTTGATGATGCCTTTCAGTAGGATTGTATCTTTTTTCCTTAAATTAGTTTTTATAGGGAGAATTTAAAAGTGGGATTCTTCAAAGGCCTGGAGCTAGTCAAAGAACAGACAGCAA